CTGGGCTATGCCCAGGATTCAGTCTGAATAGAGCCATTCAACAAAAAACACCACACAACCCACACACCTATACACACCCTCTCCATTTCTAATGGAAGCAGTTACATCTTTCAGAAGCTATCATGAAAGTATTTTCTAATCAAAATTTTTATACAGCAGTGTAAATCTCCCATACACAGAATATAAATAGCCCTTACCTTGCTTATATGAAATTCCAGTTTTCTGATATACCTTTCAACAGAGCGAATTTGCTTTAGAAAGGGAAAGAAGGATTAAAAGCTATTTAAACAAACATTCACATAATACGGCATTAAATTATTCAGTGAGCATATAGTATCAGTACTTGCACTTCACTGTTCATTGCTTTCTGTGACCTGTCCTGTCCCTACCCCTCCAAAAGAATGAGTACTTACCTTATCCAGATCATAATAGAAAGCCTGAAAGACAAATATGACAAGTTGCCTGTGAATTCATTTGCACATATTAAAGACATTTCCACATCTGCTGCCAGAACAACTGCCCACGCTGCACCGAGTCTTTGTTTAGAGAGTTACAACGTTTGTAAGCAGCATTGTGCAATACAATGGGCAGACAGCAAGGCCAACATTTTCAAAAGTACCCTCTTAGTTTCAGTGTCTTGATTTTTGGGTGCCCAAACTGAGGGCACACAAAAGTATGATTTTTCAGAAATAGTAAGGATTTGAAAATTGGTCGAGGTGGGTGGGAGGTTTTTGAATCCTTTATCCAGCCTTGGAAGGTTACTTTGTGTCCCAAGGACAGTCCCAATACGGAGTCTGAGGTGCTTTGTACAGCTTAGCACTACAAATAGCAAAGGTTTTGTTGGGATTTTTGTCTGTTGCAGAATCAGAGTTGCTAGGACCTATTAATCAATGTTTCACCAGTTTTGCCTAATCTTTATTTCTCCTCAGTTTCTAGACACAGACAGGCACGTATATTACTTGCCACATAATAATCAGCAGTTAGCTACCGTCCCAAAAGGGAAGGAGTGCAATCCAGGGAACACAGCAGGATACTGAGAGTTAGGACTCCTGGGTTCTTTCCCCACATCTAGCCTTGACTTACTTGGTGAATTTAGCAAATAAGTATAATACTAGCCTCTCACTTTCAGCATTAACAAATGGAAAGCCCCTTTGAGTCCCAAAGGCAAGAGCCAGTCGTTTTTAAAACTCTGCTCTCTTTAAACCATCTAAGCGATTAATACGGAGAAGCATCTTACCAGTCTGGAGTTCCTTTTTGTATCTTTGTGTCGAGCAGACAGATAATCCAACTCAGCCTGATGAACTTGCAGGTATTCACTGGAGAGGAAAAAACCCAAAGTGATATTTTCTTCTAGCATGTGCAGTAGGATACTCCCAGGAACAGGTTTAAGAGGGCCAGGGGGAGGGAGAGAAGAGAGATTCTCTGCGCCCCCACCTCAAAAGTAGCCAGAGGTTGGGAAGGGCTGAGCTGGTGCAGCTGAAGGAACAGTTGGAAATGGGAAGGGGAGCCATGGCAGCTGGAAAAGAAGATGGGCTTCATGTGGGTTAGAAGCTGCTGCCCTCCTTCTTGCTACCTCTCATCCCCTCACGTGCCCTCCCAGCTCCAAGAGCTTCATGTTCTATTTCCCCCACACCGAGAACACAGCCAGAGCCTTATCGTTCTGAGGGATTTGTTTTAGACTAAGAGGAAACAAGAAACAGCAAAAGTGCAAGTGAATGGGCACAGCATGCAACTCACTGCGACAGCCGCCATCTTGGACAGGCTGCCCTGAGGCATTCAAAGGAGGAACAGGGGCCCAGGAGGCTCCTAATGCTGAATAGTGCTGTACATAGGAAACAAAATAGTACGCCTCCTTACACCCACACTGTACGTCTGTGTGCCCCTGCCCTCCCAACAGGAGCCTCCCTGCATCGACCTTCTTCCCCTCAGGACAACCCTTTACCTGCATGAGCCACAATCCCTTCAGAGGAGCCCTCATGCCTGGGCCTGCTCCCATGTCTCACTCTCTCCTGCCACCTCCCCTTTGCTTGGCCACCCACAGTGGGGAAATAAGAAGTGGGAGAGGGAGGTGTCTCCCAGCCTCTTTGTCTCCTCAGAAGGGGAAGGTGGCTTTGGGCCATGCTGCTAGCTTCCTGCTTAGCTTCCCAGCAGAGCACGGGGGTAGGGAAGGTGGCGTTCTGGAGCTCCGTGCTCCTTGTTATCCTTGCGGCTGGAGCAGAAGCTGCCATTTGGGGAGGGAGGAGCTGCAGAGCTGACTGAGACCTGAGCAGCTCATTAGCCAGCTGTAGCTCACAAGGTCAAAGGGTTGAAACACTGAACACTTCAGTCCTCTGGGCTTGATTTTCAGCGGTGCTAAGCATCTGCCGCTCCAGCCAAAGTTAATGGGAGCAGTCAGCACTCAGTCAGCACCTCTTAAACATTCCCTTTGTTTATCTGAGCAGCTAGGGACTGAATGCTACCTTTGCTGTCCCCTAGAGCAGCCATTGGCTACTTCCTGATACTACCGTTGCTTTTCCACCCCAATTAAGAAGCAGGGGCCTTACCCTGCAAAGTGCCAATAACTGCTGAGCACTTGACTTCAATGAGCCCCATGGCAGCTCCCAGAAGACAAAACTCCTCCTAAGCTGATCCTCTTCCAACTTCATTTTAATTCAGAACAGACTTGAGTAAGTCTATTTTCCCCTTTTGTATTTAAAGAGCTGTAGACAATCACCTTCTGGAAAATGCTGCTTTACAAGACACAGAACCTGAACAGCTTGATGTGTTTATATTAAGCAGCCTGCACTTTTCCAAAATTACTCTGTTGGTGTATTTTATTGTCTTACTATTATGAACACATTCCTGTTAATACACAAAAAGTGACTCCAGCATTCAATTTTCTGCTCTCCACACTTGCTGATAACAGCTCAATGCAGTGGTAGTCAGAGGTTTTTTTTTTTTTTAAATTTAAAGTCATTTTAGGTTTTTGCAGCATTTTAAGATGCTCAGTTGGTGGGGAGGCACCCAGAAGGGTCATTAGACTTAAGGGCTAGTTGCTGTTACTATCTAAAAACAAAAAAACATTCCAGCAAGAACAAATGGATTTAGTTTGAATCTGCTTAAAATTTGGCCTTTAAATTATTAGATGCAGCTGTTTTCTGCAGACAGCTTTAATTAGTTACTCAGTTCTGCAAGGAGCTTGCTCAGGAGTCTGACTGTGTGATGTTCTTCACAGAATTGGGACCATAACTCTAATCCATCTGACAGTTTAGTGTCCCCAAGCCCTAATAAAATATTGGAGTCAAATCAAATTTTTTTTAGGTTTAGAATTTTTATTGTTAATTTAATTCCATTAACTAGACACTGGTGTAACTTTTTAAAAGTCTAAGACATTACAGTCCTTGAGGGAAACCAAGTGTGTTTTAACTATGTGAGACACAATTAAGTAGTTGAGGTGTTTACATTTATGGTAAATAATTTCAGTACTTTTTTCATTATGTTCTTAGCTTAAAATCCCATGGTATTAAAATCCTGGAGATGCTAATGTTGTATTTGAAGGAGCTGCATGCCAGCATGGTTCCCACAGATTAGAAGCACTGAGAGGAATTATAAAGCCACACAAAGGTTAAGATGATTCCATTTACTCTTTGTCTACTCAGTGATGGCTAGGTACCTAATGAAGTTCCTAAAGCTCCATGCTAGACCCATGGATATCACGGAGTTTAACTATTACCATTAATAGAAGCAGGATAAAATCCTTGGCATGAGGGAGGATTTAGGTCCCAAAAAATGTGTTTGCCACTAGGTAGTGTGTTTACTAAGGGCCCAATTCTGTATCTAATGAAGACAATAGGAGCTTTGCCATTGATTACAAGGGTTGCTGTATTGGACCATTAAGCTAGAGCAGGGGTTGGCAACCTTTCAGAAGTGATGTGCCGAGTCTTCATTTATTCACTCTAATTTAAGGTTTTGCATGCCAGTAATGCATTTGAATATTTTTAGAA